TGTGGGGGGGGGGGGGGGTACCAGCAGTTATTCGTTTCAACTGGGGACACTCTCGAAATCCTTTGCTTTCCGATTCACGTTTGTTGCATATATGTATGTATGTATGTATGTATGTATATCATCAAGTGATTAAGGTCACGACCTCGAGGTCGTCAGTTCAATTCGGGCCTCCGTTACGCATTCATTCTCGATTCTTTATTTCCTCAAGAAACCTTCGCTTTCCTGCGACATCATGAAAAATGACTGTAATAATCCATAAAAGAAAGAAGAAAAAACTATTTTTTGTGCCAATTACAGAGGAATGTTGATTCAGTCGAGTGGCACCATCTGAGCGACAGCCGAATTTGACTTACCTGCACGTGTTAGTGTTTTGTACACAGGACATTCGTAGCTACCTTTTTCAGGTGCTTTACGATTGGCTACCGGGATTAGCCAAATCACGGGCATGTTGGTATACAATTCTTTTGGTCGGGACTCCCCCAAAAGATGCCGATGATAGTCCCATCGAGCTCCCTCCAAGAATAAACCACGAATGTAACTTCCATCCGCTGGTAGCTCTGTCAATTCGGTCATGGCTTCTTTCATCACCTGGGTAAGGAGAGATGCCGATAAACAATCAAGTAACCAATTGATAGGCCTTTTGAAATCTTTTATTTGAACCTTCGAGGTTAACTACCTCGTGAACAAGCGGAATTCAACAAATTCCATCGTCAAAGATCACGATCTGTTATGATCTCAGAAATCCTATAGAAAAGGGATTTGTAGACAAAATTCAGCCCGTACATCACGGGAATTGTCGGTTTCTAGTATTTATCCCTTTTCATTCCACTCACAAGAAAACCAATTCATTGTCTGACTTTCGAACGTACAAGACCAAATAAAACCAACAAATCGCATGTAGGGTGAATTAGTCAAAGTAGACTAACTTGATCTATTTCATTTTCACCAACATCCGGGGGCATAACCGGATAAGTGAACCACTGGCAGTTCACCTAGGGGAGTTGGTAAAAACCCTGATTCCGAAGTAACCATTAAGAGGAGTATGAACCATATATTACCACCTTCCCGGTTGCGGAATCGCCTCGACTTGGCATCGAAGTGTATTGGTGGTATTCGTGATCAAAATAAGACCTAGCATGAAGTTACAAAAACCCTGACCAGGAAACTTGGTCGCATAGTTGGCGTTAGTCTCCCTAGCTGGATACCCCGAGATCATGAAAACCGGTGGCTATAGATACTGAGTGATATGGATGGGTGTCGCAAACAGTGACGCTCTTGCTTCTACTCGTTATTCTGGCAAACCCCATCTATAGGAAGTCTCTATCTCCTCTTTGACTCTGTTCTCAACATATCAATTTTCATTTTGCTGGTTAATCCAAATGGAAAGCCAGAAGGCAGTAACCAGAACCGGCTCTTGAAAGTGCATAGTAGTGGTAATACATAAAGATTGAAACTGGACATCGACCCTCAACGTAATGCGGTTTTCACACACCGCCCCGCTGCCTAGCGGGTCAGGTTCTGGTCAATAAAGGGTCTCGGTTGTGAATTCCCCAATAAAGTTTACCTGCCTTGGTCTGGGTAACCTGACAGGGCTGAACCCACAAGCAAATCATAGAGCTTATTCTTCTTCTAAAGATTGTTGCGGAGCGATCTATTTGACACAGTGTAGACGCAAATTTTACGGCACCACCACCGCTAATGGTTTGGCCGTATTTCCTAATGACCGGCGAAAACGATTTTCGAACAATACCTCCTACCAATACCACTTTCACGTTGACGCTGCCAACAGCATATTCAATTTATGGCTTTGGTTGACCCGGTCACGACGGATATGGGGTAGCTAGAACTTCAAAAGGTCCATGGTTTATGTGAATGGAACGGGAATTTGCCATCAAGCTACCAGGACCTTGCCCCAACCGGACAGACTTAGGCATCCACGATCTGAGACATCCAAAAAGCTGCCTTAGCCTCACACGGAAGCCAATCGAATAAATTAGGATAATGTAAAAAAATGGAATTTCATATAGATTTGGAATCTTGTTTCTTTCTCAATATGGCCCTGAAAATGATGCTCGGTCTAAATTGCAGAATGAATGGGTTTGAAGCTAGTTATGTCCGTGGCATTTTTTAAACCATCTACTCTTTCCCCAGGCGGATTTTGAAATCACCTGACCAGTTTCGAATTTATCTCAAATGAACGCATCAACTCGGGTCTACTCAGGCGATCATACCCATTGACTGCATTTATAGCACATATGCATCCGCGCAAGTGTACAAATTAGTTTTAGTTCAAATACTCAGCTTGCTTGTGTATAGGGTTTGAAAGTCTCGGACTCTAATCTTACCTTAAAATCAAATGAAATAGTATCCACAGATATTGTCATTTTTCGGGCGTAGTTTTGCAAAGTACCCGTGAGAAAAGCTTGCGGGAAGAAAAATCCACTGATCCAGAACACGGATGGAATGCCACGATCAATCCACTCTTGAATGAAAGCCACTCGCTGCAGTAGATCATCCACCCAGGCAGCCAGCGGTTTCAAACTCGGATAGGCTTTGTTGGCCCACATGGTCGGTACACGATTGTCAAATAGCGAGCGTGCCATCTCTTCCAAACTGGCAGACATGACCACCAAGCCTTTGAGTGCTTTGATCAAATCAGCCAAAGTGAGCTGGATTGCTGATAGAAGATTGTTGTATCTAAAATGTGGAGCGAATAAGTAGCGACAACTGGCAAAGCATGTTCCCATTTATACTAAATTTTGTCCTCAACCCAACATTTACCAGCAGGATAACAAAGCGCTTTTAGCAACGAACGTCAAAACATTGAATGTTTACCGTTGTTCACAACAATAACAATGGTGGTAAACATCTGTGATTCGGGCAATGGATATCGGTGAGGATCTGTTGTCCAAGTTTGCTGATTAACTTCCGCATATCTCGGTACCACATTGAGACACGAGAGTATTAGATAGTTCTTAAACATTGGAGTCCATGGTGAAGTGTTGATTGTTCAAATTGATGTTTGGCAGATTGAAGTTTTATGCTGAAATTTTGAAAAGTTCAATAGCCACGGTGGGTCATTGGGTCGTTGGAATGTGAAAAGATCAGTGCTACCGGTGTGGCCTCGACGTAGCTCTGCTGGTAGATCGTGCGCTGTCCAAAGGCGTAGGCGACGTCCATATATGGGTTCGAACCGCACCGAGGCCACTGAAATTTTCACAATCGACATAAAAGCTTCAAATCTGCCAAACAACAATCTGAACAATTAACCTTGTCTTAGAAGCTCGTTCGGTGGACTCCGGTGAATTCTAAAGAAAACCTGCCGGGGCAGTTAGCTTACATGCTAACTGGTGGGTGCCATACGCCTCTGTAAGTTGGATGGGTAAACTTGAATGTGAAAAGATTACTGCTATCTGTGTGGCCTCGTAGCTCAGCTTGTAGAGCTTGCGCTGTATGGGAGCGTAGACGGCGTCCATGTGTGGGTTCGAATCCCACCGAAGGGTTGATTGCGGTAATTCTTCTCTCTAAACTTGGGGATGCGTTACATTCAAACTCACAACCGTATGAATTTATTCCGGGATCTAATGAACTACCTCAAAACAATAACTTCTGGTTATCTATCGCTGTCTGGCCAGATGTTCGGTGTTCAGGTCAGCTGAACTTTCAGCTTTGATTTTCGTTTGGAGTTGGCAGTTAGCAAAAAGGGAATTGACTGAATATCCTAGAACATATTTAACTTAGTAGTCCTCACATGAGTTGATTGACACAAAAGTAATTCGCATGCCTACCATACAAATCCAACTGTGGTCCCATTTTCAAATGTGAATATGTAAATATGCCCTCTGTGGAGAGCGAAATCCTAAGTTTGTTCAGCTTGAGTGGTTTGGTTGAACGATTGGTTTGAAGATGGTGTGAAGATGAAGTCTAAAGGATAATCAAATAAAATATATTTGTTTTTAAGAGAAGAAGATGGGAAATCACGTCTCATCGGAACATTCAAGTAGGCACGTGAATAGAAGAGCTAGACAATACTTCTCAGCTTTTTGTTTGAACCATGCATGAAAGATTGTTTTGAATGAAAACCCAAAAAGTCAACTAATTTGTTATTTAACTTTTAATTTCATAAAGTGAACAAAACTTCATTGACAACCACAAGAGGCGGTGAATCAAGGAGAAAAAGTTGAACAAGCTCACACCGTGAGTAAGTAATTGCATGAATAGCTCAATCTAGTATTCATTTATATGTTTATTTGTATGAGGAGGAGCTACTCACTATTCTTGTGAGTAGTTTGCATGTACCAAGAAATAGGCTGTCAGACTGCAGATCACCGATGAAGAAATGACTACAAAAATGCTAACTAATTATGGTAAATTAAATGTTTCGTCCTATATAGGATTATTTATCCCTATTCGATACTTTCTTTCAGACAGATAAATCTCCTCGTTTCGGTACTGTCTTGTGGATTTATAAAATTCATAATCCTCACATTTTGTCTACATTTGCCAATATACTTCATCTTAGCAATGAACAATATCCAAAGAGACAATCGATTATTGTTGGAAACACTTTTATCGTCTTAACACGCATTCACTCAGGGGCTCAATCACGGCTAAGTAGGTTGCCACGGTCAGGGATGTTCGCCTACGCAGGTAATGGGTGAAATAAAGCCAACGGTGGTCAAGCTAAGACTTGGCACGAGGGTATGAAAACCCTAACCAGAGGACTGGGTTACATAGGTCCCGTTAGGCTCCCTGACTGAGGACCTCGGGATGATCGAAAGTGATGGTCAGAGATACTGCGTGTCGTAAACAGTGGCATTCGTGCATCTTCTCAACTTCTCTGCAACAATAGTCCACTGAAATTCTCCATTGTCTGTTCGACTCTACTCCTTTAACTTTACTGTCTTTCTACTACTACTGCTTTATTCAAATGAGTGGCCCAAAGAGAGCAACCAGAACGGGCGAACGAAAGTGCATGGTTTATGGCTGTACTTGTTGAGACTGAAACTGAACTTGATCATGCCCACTAGTCCTTTCCGCTTACCGGATCACTTCTTGCGTCAAAACGGTGTTCATCGACTGCTCGTACATGACCGGATATTTTTGGATTACACTGACCAAATCAAACGGCTGGGGTGCCGAGTTCAGTAGGGATCGTGCAATCTCTTCCACCACGTCCTCACGCTGTTGTCCACTCCCGGAACCGGCTGAGGAACGGGGTTGTAGTTGGAGCAAATAGCCAAGCAATGCGAAAGTCTCATTCTGGGCAAATGTGATATTGGCGTTCTCGTGCAGACCGAATATTTCCGGAGGATCATTAATGGGCAGACTGCGAATATATTCCAAATAAGTCTGAAATTGAAAAGAATAAGCAAAGATATGTGTTAGAACTGTAGTTTTTAAAGATACGTGTTCATGACAGACAAGCAAACAAAGTCCAATGGAACTTGTTGCAAGTATCGATCTTCGCTTACCTCAACACTAGCCTCCAGGTTTATGACTCGGTTGGAAACTTTCACAATCTGATTATTTGTTGTATGAGAGCAATGGAGGATCTGATTTGTTTATATGATGAGTTCGTTGTGTAAATGATGCGTGAGCTGAAAAGCTGGGAAGCATTGAACAACTTTTTTGACTTGGTTGGGTCTCATCAGCGGTGCGAACCCATCGACCAATCTGGGGATCGAACTTGGGACCTCACAGGTAGAACGCAAGCATACTACCAACACGGCCACCCTCGGGTAGCTGATCAGACCGTTCCTTATTTTGAATTTACACGATATGGTATAATCTATCTTTGTGAGCCTGTTGCGGACCACGGACCTTGCTCATCTCAGCACTAGCATTCGTGGATATAACTCGTTTCGAAACGTTTGAAATTGAATCCAGTTCTGCAATACTCATTCGAAACCTGTTATTTTCTTATAAACTCCGACAAAAAGGCCTGAAGATAAGTTACATGACGAATTCATCATATAAACAAATTCAAATAGAGTTTTTCACTACTTCCGTTAGAATTGTATTCTCGCGAGGTTATACCTTTTTGATTCAAACTGTAAACTAAAACGCAGTATACGATGCCAATGCGACTATCGATTTTTGCTCGTACCCGAAACTAGAGTCATACGGCTGAACTGAAGTTATTTTTGCCCGTTCGCCTATAAGCGCCCTATACTGTTGTGATGTGTTCGCACTTGCTCCGCCTGCCTCTACCAGTCCGTCACAAAAGCACATGCGTTCCGGATCAGTTGAGTGACTGAAAGATTATCTCTAGACATGTTGAAAAAACCCCGGATCACGTATTAAATGGAAGATAGTTGGTGTGGTAACCGCTGTCGTAGCGTTATGACGAAACTATTTAGTCACGTGCTCATGGTCGAACGTTTATGTGATCGGGACTAGTCCTGTCTGTTCGGATACCTATCACATTGACGGGACCCGGATTCGTGATTCGATTATCCATTCACCATTACCACCATCAGCTCTAACTGTATTGAGATCTATTTGAGCTTTGGTTTCCCCCTACTTCCTTGCGTTTATCATTGACTTCCGATGACCGTTTCGTCTCCTTGATTTCTCTGACTATTTGCGTAAACTGATCTATCTTTAGCCAAGCACACATCCTCAAATTAGGGTTTTGGTGGCTCAGTGGTTTAATCGGTCACCGGCCTGCGAGATTCGAGCCCCGCCACCCAGCTTTGCTGAGGTCCCGTTCAATACCACGACTAACCCAGTGGGGCCTTCCGTGATCCACCGCTCCAAGTCCCGGGGCTTGAGTTACCGGTTTCCACCACTGAACAGCAGGTCTTCATGACTTTGGGGTTTACCTAGTCTGCTGTTCATCACACAAATGTATGTAATAAAAAAATTTCAAGCATTTCAATTAAACTACCTAGAAATTCGGATAAACAAGAACAATTCAAAGTTAGTACCGAGCTCCTTGTGTTCAAAGACGAAATCATTCTTATCTCTGAAATTGACCTTTTATCTTAAGATCTCATATCTACAGAAAAGACCTCGGTGGAATCAAATTTATGATGATGCGGTTCTTATTTAATTTAATTTCGGATCAGAGAAAAATGAACTTACCGCATGATCACTCGATTCAGGCAATTGGTGATAGATTCCCGAAGGCGAATAGGAATGATCATCATCCAATGATTGTGGTTGATAGTATTCGCCCAGAATGCTCATTGCACAACGACGATCCCAATCGTCCGTGATCCGACCACCATAGTTTATGTGACCGGCCGTGTAACATAGTACCTGCAAAATATTTATCCCGTAATTGAACTGGGCACTCAGGTGAATCCATCAAAATCATGACTATGAGGGGACCAAAGGATAGCTACAAGTTATAGTCTTACACACTTGGAAAATTTGTCAAGCCCATTCTCATGGGATTGCTTATAATGTATATATATATATAACAACTCCTTCAACTTTACCGTCTTTCTACTACTGCTGCCTCATTCAAATGGGTGGCCCAAAGACAGCAACCAAAACCGGCGCATGATAGTGCATGACTAACGGTTGTAGAAACTGAAACTGAAACTGAATGGAATGATAATGGAATGTGATAATTCGCGACACTTGTGCATATACTTAGTTTTCTTAGATATATATAAGTTTTATATTCTACATATTCATTATTGGTACACACTTTATCTTCTTCGATTGATTGATCAGACAGTTTGCGAGAGAGAAACACTACTCAGAAGGGGAGCAGGGAAACACCGGAAGCAGAATGAAGACTTAAACTGCCTACGTCTCGGAATTACGCTGTAGTTATCGTTGAAGACCACCGGGAAGCTGCTTTGCTCCTTAATATGACGTTCTTTTTGTCGGGACTTGAATCGTGATTTGTCGCGTTGGGAACAGATACCTTTTTATCAAAATCGACAGACTTCGAAAGCCTCAGTATGGTCGGGGGTAGGTGTTTTGGGTTGTGACTTATAAGTCTTCTCTCGCACCTCGTTAAAAGCCCTCATTTGATCAAACGTCTTAAATAGCCTGTGATGAGGAATCCCCGTTCACTGCCTTCACGCGGCGCAGGTGTGTGATGAGGTAGCTACAGCTTTTCATCATCATCATCATCATCATCATCATCGTACAGCGAAGCGAAGTGAAGCGAACTTCACTGACCGCTGCCAAACTCACAGCAGCTTTTGACAGTTCGTTGTGTAATGGGTGATGAGTACGTTTTCCCACACTGCTCCACTGCCTTGTGGGTTAGNGTGGGTTAGGCTTTGGTTGTGAATTCTCCAAAGAAACTGAACTTTCTTGGCCTGAGTAACTTGGCAATATTCCGCCCACAAGCAAGCCATGGAACGTTTTTCTTTTCTTTATAAAGAATATTGTGCCACAGTTTGTTTGGCACACAGTCTAGACTCAGACTCAATAGCAAATAGCTTGCGGGTCTGGCAACCACGGTTCAAGATTGGATTGGTGCATATGATGTCTATTAGTTTCATGATAATAATTGTTTTTTTTTTAAGTTTTACTGAATAAGTCAGATAAATAATAAGTCAGATAAAAAAAATACACTGGAGCAACTCTGTTGACGCCCGACATGCTCTCAATCCAAACGGTATTTTTTCATCCTAATCTTCAACTGATAGTTCATCAGACTGCTAACACGCTCATCAGTAGCGGTATGGATCAATTTTTACCTTTTGGCTTCATTTGTTGAATATACATGATTTTAAAATCAATTTTCAAGAACGGACGTCAGTAGTAGCCAATCAAACGGCTGTCCTGAAATATAAAAAGATCAGGTGAAGCTTAATTGGCGGTGCTGATTAATTCTTTCTATTCAGGAGTAACTCTATGCACTCGGATGGGGGAATTTTCATCAACTTGTACCATATTTGTAGATGCAAATTTACAAAACCATACAAAATGAAACTGAAAATGGTAGATATCGTCCGTGTCAATTAAGTAAACATTTACGTAATTCTGTGGCCACTTTCTCCTTGTCAGCAATTAGACGTGTGAGCTATGGTAAAACAGAATTAAGAAATGAAGAGGTATGTGAAAAAAGTTGGAAACTTGAGGGTGTGGATGATGTAGATGCAGCTTTTGAAATAAACTCTGTATACATTGAGTAGTGACTTCCTTTTTTGGAAAAGTTGAACGAGTCTGTCCCGGTTAGAATATCAGTTAATATATTGCCCGATTTTTTTTAAATCTGAGCAGGATTTAGATTGATGACGACTGTGTGGAATACGGCGGCTGTCCTCGTGCCACATTTCGGGTTTACTTTGATACACACACCTGTTGCCACCTCTCCTGAAACATATTCATGGGATTCCTCTCTATCCGTATTCTACATGAACTTTACCATCTAGGACGCAACTTCCTTGATTCAGGGTCGCCGACAAGACCTCTAACGTGGTGCTGGTACTCCTCTTCTGGCACTTTGAGAAGTGCACTTGGTTTCCGTTTCACCGGCATTCTTAACTGTCTCATCACTTTGTTGTGTAGTCTAACAAAATTTTGCTTGTCCGTCGTGCTCTCAACAGAAAAAGTCCGATTTGCTACGCTCTCAGCTTGCCGTTCTTATTCGCCAACTATCTTCACTGCCGCATCCGAGGCTTCTACTGACTCAGTTGATTGGGATTTCGTCAAAGAAACAGCAGCACTTGTGTCAAACAAACCAGCATGGCGCTTTGTGATCCTCCATCACCATTTGGGTCTGAAATGAACAACGATCAGTCGTTCCGGATGGGGTCCTGTCCCGGGGACAACGATTCGACCGACATCGGGGTTTCTCTCACGGACCACTTGTGCTGTGTTTCGGGGCTATTTTTCTGTCAGCACTCTGGTCATTTGCGCTCAAAATTCCCCTTATTTTAACGGCCGACTGATTGTAATCTGTTCGGCTAGCCACCAAATCTCTGGGTGGTATCTAAGGGCTTCGGTTGACTGGACAGGTGTGACAATCTTCCAGGCGAACTCCATCATTACATGTGCCAGTTTGAATACATCCATGGTCTTTTCGTCATAAATTATTCACACCGTCTCCCTGAGCTCTCCCGGAAGGCTCTCCATGAAACGATCGAGCAGCAATTCCGAGCGCGCGACATCACTCAACTTCGGGAGTGCTCTATCCAAGAGGGCACATAAGGCCAAGGCGTGCGATAAGGAGACCACGCCAACTCCGAGTTGCGCCGTCCTAAAGCACCGCAACGCCTCCTGACGGTTGGCCGAGGTGTCAAATCCAGACATCAGGGCGTCTGTGAAATACACCTTTAATGTTTAAGAAACATAAAATTTCGCTTGTCACCAAGCAACTCATCAAAGAGAGTGCGGGGGTGGAGAGAGAGCATCAGACTGAAATAGTGCAACGCTCACCTTGTACGGTGTGACAGAGTACTCGGACAGGAACATTATCAGTTGATCCATACATATTTTCAAATCACCGGTTGTGAATTCATACGCAATATTAAATCCTAATGGTCCGAATTTCTTGCGTTCAATCAATGCACCATTGAAGAAAGCCAATGCTAGCAACAAGTGTTTGAACTCCGAATTCTGTATAAAAACAGAATAAAATATCTTTTCACGTATAACGCAACCGGTAACTTTACGGAGGATTATGAAATACGAATGCATGGGGATAAAAATGTGGTCAAGGAAGATGAGTTGTTAAAACATGTTGAGAGAATATATCGATAAAAATTGTCCTTTGTAGTAGACTCAGAGAGCCTAAATCAGGTAGGCATTTCGGTGTCTTATTCAATGTTGACCAAGTTTGTCGATAATTAGAACAACTAGAGTAGTGTCATACTGAAAAGAAACGAGGCACAGTAGTGATGGTAGACTATCGTATACCTTGCAGCAGATCCCACTTTTTTGGATTCTATCATTTATTCAACTCTCCCCGTTGGGTCCAAGAAGTTGAGTAATGCGTCAGCGGTCATGCTGCGGCAAACCGCTAGACAGACAGATTAAAGCACATTGAGAGTAAATGAGGACTACAATCTTAATGAGACTTATCTACGACGTACTGGAACAGCTAATGCTCCTTGATGAGTGAATGAGATCTACTGCTTGATTCAGCCCAGGGAGNTATTTACCGTAACAGGGATATGCTGATCCCTGGATTGTATTAATATCTATCGGATGGTGAATTAACTCCCACGGAGCTAACGGCATTTAGGTTCCCGCACACTGTAGTTCGCGCATGGTTATACAAGGACTATAGGGGTGCGCCCTCGAAGAAAAAACCCGCTAACTTTGATCATATCTCTAACAACATGAACTTAATAGTTCTGTACCCCAATCCACCTATCCCCTATTATTGCTATTATTATTATTGTTTTGGCTTTGGTACCATACTTGTCTACAAGCCGTTTATATATA